CATGTTTTGGGTTGACTATCGAATTTTTTTCTTCGACATCTTCGATTTCTATCAACGAAATGGTCCTTTGCACTTTTGCATCGATTCGGAATGGTTTTGAGCTCGCCAGTCGTTTTTTGCTCTGATTCATCTTTTCCATATTTCTGACCTACAGCCCTAATGCAAAACATTTTCCTTGGTTTTAAGCAATAAGGCTTCTAACAAGCTCCTTTGAAATATCTTCGATGCCATGGCGGTGGGTGTTGTTTCAGTGAAATTGATTTAGTTTCCAGTCGTAATATGATCATAGGCAAGTGCAAAATTTATTTTCTATTTTCACTATGCTTCTCGGCTAGCGACCATTTATTCGCTGACTCGCTTGTGCTGAGTAACTCTGACTCGCAACTACTGTAACATCCGGCCAATACATGTACAGTGCAAGTCAATCAGTCCATCTGGGTATTTCTTCAACAAGCATCTGATGTTTTGACGTGGCCAGGACTGATCTTAGCTTTCTTTTAGACTTAAGCTCCAGTTTCAGTTTAAAAAGAAAGATTCCTGGTAATCAATCATCCACTGATTCATGCTATCGCCATGCCATGTAGCTGCACCTCTTCGCTAAAGCGATACGGAGAGAATAATTTTAAATGGCATGCCATGAAGCGCTGAACTCCATCGCGCTTTCCTATTCGATGGTTAGAGACACGAAGAAGTGTAATCGTCTATGACTCAGTACACAGTTATAGTGATAATAAGTTAATAGTTTATAGCTTCACTTTCTTATAGCTTCAACATGTTCCTGATCTCATCGTCATCTGAGGTATCAGATCAAACACCCAGTTACCAGATTAATGATGTCTGACGCCTCAGCTTCTTGGAATAATGTGTCTCATCGCAAACAGGCCCGCCTCTAGCAGTTGTTTTAGGGGACACTGCTGACAACCGAAGCATTTGTTGTCATTTTTTGTTTCTCGGAGGAAAGCGATTTGGGATAAGTTTTCATTCCCTCTCGGGAATGTTGTCTGAAGCCACGATAAAAAATGGCTGACACAATTCAGCAAAGAAGGGGTAAAGGTTATTGAAATTTATGCCATGGATCGGTCGCCTCACACTTTCTTGGTGGTACCGCTTTCTTCCATTGAACTAACGACACACAGCTGAGATTTGGTAAGCGGGTTTTTACTATTCCGTTTGTAGATCGATGAATTGCTACCAGTTTTCGGTTGTTTGTATTGAAGTGCAGTTAGATGAGTTGTTTGTAGGAAAGGACTCGCAATTGTTAATCGAAATTTTAATTTTATTTAATCCTGGAATTGCATCCGGCGTATTTAAAGCGCAAACCAAGGTGTTAATCCATTACAGCACTTATCCACTCCTTTCTCCTGCCCTAACATCATCAGTAATGGTTCATTTATATCAAGTTGCATTCGGTAAGTCGTGGATAGCTCTCCTGAAATTAGTGACACAGTGCACAGATAACAGTACTGATTAGGCGGCGCTTGTCAATTGACATTTGCTAACGTTTTACTGCCTAAACGTGGTGGGGGGTCATGCTTACGTCACGTTAAACAGTATAAATTTATTTAAGGATACACTTCAGCTCGATGAAGAGGTTATTGGAGTGAGGCGGCTGACATCAGAAGTGCGTCGACAAGGTTTGGCGAAGGCAACGGTTCAATGAAGCAGGAATATTGGAAGTTAATAATCCCAAACCTGAGTCACTGCGCGAAACGAACAGTCCACAGTTTTTGACAACTCTCGCTCGATGGGCACTGAAGAAGGATACGTTGGCCTTCATACCCGGACTCCTTGACACCCTGAAACTTGCCGATGAAATGGAAGAACGCGAAACAGTGTTCTGAACAAAGAACGTCGTGAGAAAGAAAACTGCAGCAACTCTTTTCCAGGAACTCTTAGATGATGTGTGTAATGCTCTCGTTCAACATTTTTCACAGGGTGTAGTACAAACTGATTTGTGGTCAGTCAAAAATACAGGTTTTAGATAAATGATTTTTGTTTTGTTCAGTTGAACATATTGGATGTTAGAAAAATTTTAAAAAGGTATATTGTTTCTAACGAATTTTTATTTTTTATCGATTTCAGGGGACAACTGCAATTGCCGCCATCCTGAAAATAACTCAATGCACGGTTCATTTATACAGAAGGCGAACAATTTGGTAAAGTGGCTGATTGTCTAGTACTGTGTTACAGAATGCCTCTCTGGGACTTTCTTGAAGCTCTTCTAGCATTACAACGGTCAGGAACCGCCTTGGAAGCGAAACAAGCTTTCGAATGGCTTCACCGCCTTCGCCCACAGAACTGGAATTGCGCACCATGTTTTGAGAGGAGCAAAACAATACCAACCGGAAACGCTGCAGATCCGCAGTACGGTAAGAGACAGACGACACGGACTGCATGTTCATGAAACCGTTGTTGTCAAGCGGAATAGTGCATCAAAGGTAACAGACGAAAATGATGCATAAAATTATTTCTTCGCCTTGTTTCAACACTTTGTTATAAAACTCTTGCCCTCGCTCACGACGACCATGTTCCTGCATACAAGGGGCCAATCATGTCATGCTAGGAAATGAAAACTTCGCAATTAGATCATATCACTTAACAGAGAAAGGAAGTAATATGGTCATAGTCCTGATCGTCAGACCGAATAATGCAAACAAGAAAAAGAATAAAAAAGTAACATAATAAGCGTACAAAAACAAAATAGCAAGAAAATAAAGCCATGTTAACGTAGTCAAATAGCGGTGTTTACCAGTACAGTCATACACAAAAGCGCGTGGCGAGCATGGAATGAACGGACTACGAAAGAGCGTCTCCCACGTAGATTTACCGGCAACTGGAATTGCTGAGAAGCACTGAAGAATTGAGATATTCAAACGTTCATCTGGGCAGTTTTCCTACCGTCCATTTCGACTACGAGGTAAAAGCAAGATGGCAGAGTCTAGAACCTGAAATGCTGGACTGCTAATCGACAATTTGCTCATCCTTGATGCAAAACTTCCCAGACATGCATAGCTTTAATGTCATAGTTTAGTGAGTTAAAAAACGACGGTGACA